CATATCCTTACATTAAGACATCCTAAGACTATCGGGCTACACAGCATAAGGGAAATGGAAATGAAGGAGAGAATTTTATCCCTTATCTTCTCAGCAACTCTCATCATGCATCCTGAAGAAATACCCGAAAGCATGGGATGACTTCAGTGATATTTAAGAGGCAGTGGAAGTTATTAGACTGGGAACCGGAAGATCAAAGTTTGAGCTACAGCTTTGCCCTATGCTATTTTTTAACCTGGTACTAATCATTTATGATCTTGGACTACAGCTTCCTCCAGTATAAAAGAGGGATGACAACATTTGTTCAGTTCACCATGTAGTATTGCTGGTATATAATAAAATCCAACACAGGTATACACCTCCACGTATGAAGAGACAGAAGTGGCAGTAGACGCCCTATGAGCAAAATAACAATAGTTTAATCTCTAGTACTAAACTAACAGGAAAGAAAGTAGAACGAAGAACTGGCATATGCCTTGAAGAAAATATTTGAATTTACTTTAAGGCATAGTGTTGTTAGTTAGGTCAGCATTTATTGTCTATAGCTAATAGGCAATGCCTTTTAATGTCATCTATATGTATTGTATACTAGTATATAATATCATTGGTAATAATTATATGTTACTTATAGTGACATTTTCCAAATTTCAGGCCCTAGATGCCTAGAGAATGCTGGAAGAGTGCCTGCTCTGTGCTCTTCAATTAGTGTGAGGAATGTTTCTTGACGTACATTAGAACTTAGGACATGGGGAAGCTGGTACACATATATTTCAGCTCCTGCAGAACAATACAAAGCATATTTCCTTGTTTACTTGGACACTCTGTACTGCTTCCTACTGTTCAGTGTGCTTTTGCTTTGTTCATGTTTATTTGAGGCTCAGCACCAGTCGGAACTCCATGATGCCCAGGGGTCTGGTTTGTAGTCCTTCAAGCATATCTTGTTCTCAGCCTTTGTATCCTGGCTGCCTCCTCCTCCTCCAGTTTCTTCACTACCTTTTAGGGTAGGTGTTTGCTGTGCTATTGAGAAGGTGGAAATAAAACATACACCACTTATTACAAGGTGAGGATGAAAGAAAATGGATTTAAAATGTAGCAGCAGAGAGTAACATTAAATGTGGTTGTATAAGAACCACTTGGCTTCTGGCCAGTGTGGCTCAGTGGTTGAGCATTGACCTATGAACCAGGATGTCATGGTTTGATTCCTGGTCAGGGCACATGACCAGGTTGTGGGCTCGACCCCATTAGAGGTCCAGTAGGAGGCATCCAATCAATGAATTTCATCATTGATGTTTCTATCTCTCCCTCTCCCTTCCTCTAAAATCAAATAAAAATCTATATGTGTTTTTAAAAATCCGCTTGGCTAAGAACTAGGAGATCTAGGAGATCTAGCTGATAAGGTCTTTGGTGTCCACAGATGAGGCAAGTTCTGTGTCCAGAAATGGAATCACAAAGGATAGACCTTGTACCTGCTCCCCAGTTGCTCACATCCTAACATAGTAATTCTTAAACCTCCCTCTGCATCAATCATACAGATGCCCTTTAAAATACAGATGTCTTGCCCTAACTGGTTTGGCTCAGTGGATAGAGCATCAGCCTGCGGACCGAAAGGTCCCAGGTTTGATTCTGATGAAGAGCATGTACCTTGGTTGCGGGCACATCCCCAATAGGAGGTGTGCAGGAGACAGCTGATCGATGTTTCTCTCTCATCAATGTTTCTAACTCTCTATCCCTCTCCCTTCCTTCCTGTAAAAAACCAATAAAATATATTTTTAAAAAATAAAATAAAATACAGATGTCTGGAGTCCACCTTTGGAAATTCTGATTGAATTATTCTGGTCAAATTAGTCAATGGTGGGCTCTGGATAGAGCACCTATCTTTTTTTAAAAAAATATATTTTATTGATTTTTTTACAGAGAGGAAGGGAGAGGGATAGAGAGCCAGAAACATCGATGAGAGAGAAACATCGATCAGCTGCCTCCTGCACATCTCCTACTGGGGATGTGCCCATAACCGAGGTACATGCTCTTGACCGGAATCGAACCTGGGACCCTTGAGTCTGCAGGCCGACGCTCTATCCACTGAGCCCAACCGGTTAGGGCAGAGCACCTATCTTTAAAAGCTCCCCACATGATTTGAATGGTCAGCCAGATCTGAGACTCATGGGTCTAATCAGTTCTGGTTTTAGTCTTTTGTGTGGTGTCAAATCATAAACATCACAGAATCTCCTTTTTGACTCAGTGTGCCCCTCTGTAAAACATGGATGATATCATCGGCTCTTCATTCATTCCTATCACAAATAAACTATTATAAACTTCATATTCTGTATTCGACATTATAAAAGGGTCAGAGGGAGAAATGAGTCACAGTATCCACGGAAAAGTCTTTACAGGAAGAAAACTCTGAAACTGCAGACCGGAACCACTTTTGACACCAACTTGCTGTACACAACGGATGGGAACTTTGTGTGCTAATTCACTAATGCAACCAGGACCTGACCCTGATCAGCTGCGAGCTTCTGGCTAACAATCACATGTTTGTGCCGACAAGAACCCCTTTAGTTTAGTCTCCCAGTGCACGTCTCTGTCTAGCAATCCCACTAAATGTCCTCCACTAGTCTATGTGCAGTCCCACTCACAGAGACAGTTATTTCACACTTTCTCTTCTAAAACCCCAACACCACCTCCCCCAGCTTTCAGCTGTCGGTGTGTCTTATTATTTTACAGAGAAAAATAGAAGCAATTAAAAAAGAAATACATTGTTTCTCAAGTACAGAATCAATCAATTTCCCTGCAAATAGGCTCACATAATTTTGCCTTTCTTCTTGTGAAGGTGGTTCCTGCTCATTTCTAGGCGTAACAATTCCTGTGCTCAAAATCCACCTGCACTCAGTTACAGAAGCTCCTCTCCACACTCAACTGCATCGCCAATTTACCCCTCTCTGCCAGGCCCTTCCCATCAACAAACCTGCATTAATAGCATCTATCTGAACAAAACCAAACAAGAACCTCCTATTAAGGACCCACACTGTCCTCCATCTCTTCGTTCCTCTACCCATGTACAACTTTTTGAAAGTGTCTGTGTGGGTTGTCTCTACTTCCTCACCTCCCAATTTCCCATCACACTCCAATTGGGCTATAATCCCCACCACTCTCTATAAAGGTGTTATCAACGTCAAGATAAGTCACCAAGTCTCTGTTCTCATCTACGTCACGTGGTATCTTCTAGAAACTTCTAGAAACATCTCTTCTCTGAACACCACATTGTTTTGGCTGTTCTGCTCCCTCCCTAATGGCTCATTTTCAGTCTCCCTTGCTGATGTCTTTAAATGTTGAGTCTCCCAGAGGTTAGTTGGAGGCTCTCCTTTGATCTCTGAACTCTCTCTTGTCATATCTCCTGGTTTCATGACTCTAAATACATTCATTACTGGCTCACCCCAATGCGTGGTGCTCTCCCCCCAACACAGTTAGTTGCCCATGCTCCTTCTTCAGTCTTTCTCATCTCAATGAATGGAATCGATTGCCCTTCAACCCTTAAATTAAATGCCACCGTCTATTCCTTTCTTTTCTTCATTCTACCACATTACATCCATGAGAAAGTTCTGTTAGCAATGTCTCCGAAACGTATTCCAGTCTGACTCTTTCATTATCACATGTGACCTCCTTTGTTTGTCTCTCATCTCTGCCTGGACCATGTACCAGCCTCCGACCTAGTTTCATGGTGACCACCATTGCTCCCCTGTAATTTATTTAACTGAGTTGTCACAGTGATTTTTTAAAAAAAAAATTAATAGAGTATATTATTCACTTTAATGGTTTCCATTGAAATTAGAATATAACTCTCAACTTTCAAACAAATCAACTGTAAATAAGACATTTTTTGAGAAAAATGAGAGAAATTTAGATGAGCATTTGATGATATTAAGGGATTGTGGTTAATTTTGTTAGGTGTGGTAATATTTTGTTTATGTAAGAGATTATTTTTAGTGATATATTTAAGGATGAAATGACATGATTTTGGGATTTTCTTTAAAAAAATGCTGAAATGCCTCATCTCCCCCACCCCCCATGGTAGAGATATAAAGATGTGTGGCAAAATGTAACTGTTAGTTCTAGTTACGTGGAGGTTTAGTATACATATGCTTGATAATTTTCATAATATAAAGTTGGGGGAAAAAAGACAACTAAAAAGTTTCCAGCTATTTGTCATGGGGGACCTTTATGATTAAATATCTGCCTACTTCTCTTGTATTTCACTTTCCCTTTCGTTTGCTGTAGTTCATCCACACTGGCCATCATTCTCCTCTTGTACACTCCAAGCCTGTGCACCCGCTGGTCCGTCTCCCTGGTGCATTCTGCATGGCTGACTTACTCAAATCTTACTGCCAGAGATTTCCCTAACATTCCTCCACCCCAGCCCCACATACTCTATTTCTAATAATTATGCCACTTTGTTTACATGTTTATTGTTGGTTTTCTTCTACTAGAATTCAAGCTCCAAGAGGGAGGGATCTTGGGTTTAAAATAGTGCATGGTGAATACTTAGTAAATATATGAAGTGGATACTACTCTTTAAACCATTTTAAACATGTAATTTTACTAATGCCAACAGATCTTAAAGGCAGGACTGAGAGGTGAACTCAAATTTCTTTTTACTGGGAGCCTTTAAAGTTCTATTACATTACTTCCTGGTGGAATGGACTAAGTGGGGTCGGAGAGAGAAGTCTGGGGAGCATACTCCCACACTCACAAAATTTAAATAATTGCTTTTATAGGTATATGCTTTGGGAGGGAATTCCATGCTTTTAATTAAATTCTCAAAAGAGTTCTTGAAACTCCAAGTTTTCATCATTATTTCTTTGGTTGTGACCAGGGACAACTTACAATGTTAGATGCTCATCACAATGTGAGAAATTTAAACTAAGCTTGTCATCAAGTCCTGAAGACCCATGCTTGTGAACATTTAACTCACTTATTTGGATTTAATACCTTTCTTTTTACAGGCTATTGGACGTCCCTTTATGCCCCCATACTGGTCTCTGGGATTTCAGCTAAGTCGATGGGGCTATAATAGCATAGATGTGCTGGAAAAAACGGTTGAACGTTTAAGACAGTATGATATTCCTCATGTAAGTGTACCCTAAACACTATGGGGGAATTGATTGTAACAAAGAAATAAGGTGTAGTGATTAACCTGTAATCTATATAAAAATATATATTTGTGTGTTACAGTAGTCTGTCCTTATTCACAGGGGACATATTCCAAGATCCCCAGTGGATGCCTGAAGCTGCAGATAGTACCAAACTCTATGTATATTTTGTGTGGGGGTTTTTTTCTACTCATACATACCTTTTTGTGCAAAGGAACCACTATATGTCTTCTCTTTGGCATAACCAATTTTGCAGCATCACTACTCTTTGGGGGCCATTATTAAGTAAAATAAGGGTTATTGCAACACAAGCATTATGAAACGAAGACAGTAAATAGGAAACTCACCTGGCTACTAAGTGACTAACAGGTAGGGATGTATACAGCATGGGTATGCTAGACAGAGATGATTCACATGCCAGGCGGGAAACGGCGTGATAGTGAGAGATTTCATTATGCTACTCAGAAAGGCATGAGTTTAAAACTTATGAATTGTTTATTTCTGGAGTTTTCCATTTAATGTTTTCAGACCGTAGTTGTTATTGCCGGTAACTAAAATACAGAGGGATTTTAAGTGGGGGGTAGGAATTACTGCATTTTCTCAGTTTCCTATAAAATATTCATTTTCATCCTCTTTTCTTACAAGATGATCTGAAACTCACATCAATATTTAAATTTCCAATTATATACAGTCACTCAATAGCTACTTATGAGTCTATGACAATGTTTGTTTTTCTAATGTTCGAAGGCTGTGTCTACACTGCTCTTTTGTACAGGATGTTCAGTATGGGGATATTGACTACATGGAGCGGCAGTTGGACTTCACCTACGATAAAGCCAACTTTGCTGGTCTGCCCGAGTACATTCAGAAACTGAAAAATGATGGAATGCATTATGTCATTATTTTGGTAAATATTTTTTGAAGATCAAACATACAATATTTAAATTCATATTTCCTAAATTTCTAAAAGCATATACTACAATTAATTTAGCAAAAAGAATTTCTAGCACTATAGTATTTTTGAGGAACAAAATTTTATTTAATATAGAATTATAAGCATTATATTTTATTAAAGGATAATAAATAATAAGCAAGTTTTCTATTATTCAGTGATACAAAAATGTCATCAACAAGTCATGAAGGAATTTAGTCACAATTTTTAAAACTGCAGTGTTCTTTCTTCAAAAAAATTGACTTATACATAGAAGGAACAATAAGGCTTTTCACAGGTCACATAATTTGCCAAGATTTGAAGACTTGGTCATAAAAATTCTAAACAAATGATTATATAGTTATTGAATAAATGCATTGAACTTAGGTTGCAGGAATATTTTCTTCATGTTGGCTACAACATTATATTTTACTTAATACATTTAGAATATAAAAACAAAAGTCATCATAACTACTTCTAGGAGCATGTCTGCTACTAAAAGTTGGTTCATAATGAAGTCCTTGTCTCATTAACACCTCATAAAATAATTGTTCTATCTGTTATCTTAATGTAATGATAAAAACGTCACTATGTGTTATAATCCCTAGATGACTTAATGGTGTTAGAGTTTTATGGACAGAGGGTTTTTTTGTGTGTGTGTGTGTTTTTAAGATGGCTTATTATAAATAAAAGTACATGTATTTATTATCCACATGACATTACTTAGCAGGAGTGTATGAAAAAATATTTAAATATAAATATATTATGATAGTAAAATGTTTATCAAGGGAAATAGACTTGGAGTAGGGTCAATAAATATTTTTGGAAAAAAATGAATATAGAATCATATATATTTTTCTTCTTGAGTCATTGTAAAACTTGACTTTTTAAGAGGGACAGTGACTTTAAGAATTTGCCAACTACACTGCTTCATTTTGTAGAGGAGAAACTTGTGCCCCCTTAAAATTAAGTGGCTTACCCAGGCTTTTTGTAGAATCCCAATTTCTTGATTTCTCCATCTTGGCTTTTTTATTTGTTATACAATTTCATAGCCTTATCTCATATAAAAAGCGACAAACAAAAAAAAAAGTAGCATGAGTTGTATTTATCTACTTATATAACTTTTTCAGTAAAGAAAACTAGAGATTTTTGTTAGAAGCAACTGATTATGTTATTAACTTAACTCCACATTACTTGGCTCCACATTTTGCAGCATTAAAAATGAATGAAAATAGAGAGTTCTTATATTTGTAACCATACTTAATAGCTGGGAACATAGTAATGTATGCAGTTTAAAATATATTGTGCATGTGAATACTAGATACTCATATTTTAAAACTTTTGGAAAGTTTATACTTAAATATCAATTATCAGACTATTACCAATTACAATGTTCTGGGGAATTTGCAGGATCCCTTTTTGACAAAAGATGAACCACAAGGTACTTATAGGCCCTATGAACTTGGACAGGAATTGGGAATTTGGGTCAATAACTCTGATGGGATCACACCAGCGGTTGGCAAGGTAAGAACCTTGAAGAATAGATGAATACCGCCTTCTATACTGAGTTTTTATTTCAAAAATCACAATTCATAAGGCATCAGTGAATTGATATCACCTGAGTTTAGTTCAAAAAAATTATGTACAGCTTCTCAAGCTGAGTATTTGGAGCATTGGCCTGGATACTATGGATTTTTAAGAAATTCCTTAAGTCCCATAGACTTGGTGAGAAATTACAAGGATCCACTTATATACATTGTAACATTCTGAAAAGGCACAGTTTAATAAGCATGACAAAATTATATTGATAGAGATTACATAGGAAAATTAAGTTTATGTAAATTGAGGAATGACACATCTAAGATATTTCTTAAATGTAAGAACATTTCTCATTGTATTCTTTTACACAATAGAAATACTTCAATGCTTTTGCTAAGGATCAAAGCAGTACAATATTACAAAAAAATGTAATACTGACTTATAAAAAGTATAAAGTGACAGTTATTCTTTTCCCAAAATATACATTTTATCATTTCAGTGTGTATTCCTCTAGATTTTAAATACATGTAGCCATAGTTTTTACATGGGAAATAACAGTATATAACACTTAAAACTTTTTAAAAACTATAACAACATTGTAAATATATTTCCATGTTAATACATATGAAATTACCTTATCTTTTAAAATAATATGAAATTCCACTGTTCTCATGTGAGGAAATTAGTTTAACTGATTCCAAATGATGAACATTTTCTTGTTTCTCATATCTTAATATTACAACCAATGCTGCATTAAACATGTTAATGTATGTTTCACATTCTAATCTCATGTCTATATATGCTTTTTAAAAACTTTTATTTCTTGATTTGAGAAGGAGAGAGAGAGAAAGACAGAGAGAAACATCGATGATTTGTTGTTATTTATATATTCATTGGTTGATTCTTATATGTGCCCTGAACAAGAATCGAACCTGCAACACTGGCTCACTGGGGCGATGCTGAGCTACTCGGACAGGGTCATACGCATTCTTAAATTTAATTATTTCACCCAACAATTTACATTAGAACTTGAAGTGACTTGACATCTGTGCAGCATGGAATCTTCCCATCTATAAACATTCCATATCTCTCATTGATATGTTTAATTTTGAATACTTCATGGAAATTCTGTAGTTTTCATTAAATTATTATGGCTCTTGTTGACACTATAGACATAACTTTTTATTGCTATTATAAATTCAATTTTTACATTTTTAATCCCTATATTTGTATTAATATAGATTTATGTGTGGAGATAAATGGCTAGAATATAAAAGAACAATAAAAATATGATTTCATGTACAATTTCATGGCTGAAGAACACTGGACAGGGATATGGGTTTCTATTCCCAGTCTCCTACGAACTTGCTAGGTACTTTTACTATGTACTTGGTTAAGTTATATAATTTCACTGATTCTCAAATTTTATTTGTATGACTCAAAATGCAACATAAGGCCCCGCTATAGCTATTTCTACACCATATTAGGTGAGTTGTCATTATTTACTTTGACTTACTTGTCTGTTGTAGGCCTGGCCTCCAGGAGATTCAGTGTATCCAGACTACACCAACCCCAAAACAGCAGAATGGTGGATACAGATGTGCATGGAATTTAAAAACATTCTTGATTATGATGGGATCTGGATTGTAAGTCCAAATTTATTACTTAATTTTTTTCCCCTGGTAGAAAAGTAAAATGTTCACCTACTTCTCTTTTTTTCACTTTATAATAAGTTGAAGTGAAAATTTCCCCTCTCCTCTTTCTTGATAACCTCTGTCTTAACTGCTCTAATGCATCACTGGAGGGGAGAACCGCTGCCTAGAATAGCGGCAGCATCTTGTTTGCTATCTTGATCCGTGCTTCATCTTACTCTTTATTCATTCATAATGCTTATACCTACTCAGTGCAGGGCACTGGGGAGGCAACAACTGGGGAGATAGGCTGAGAAACAAGCGTTTGTGTTGCCCTGACAGAGCAAGCAGTAGATACAATGGGTACAGAGATGAAGGGCATTGAACTCAGGTCAGTTGAACTCAAATCTGGGCAGTTCAGACTTAACCAATGAAGGTGATGGTTAAGATGAAGACTGGCCAATGAATGGGAATTAGTTTAGTGAAGCAGGGTGTGGGTGTGGGTGGAAGTGTTTCTGGTCATAGGAACAGCATTTGCAAGAGTGCAGAGGAGAAAGACCACAGGGTGGCGTTGCTCTAATACTATTGGACAATCACAAGTTGCATGCCTAATAGGCCCCACTCTGCCAGAGAGACACTTGCAAACAGAATCATGTGGGGAAGATTGAATGAGGACTAGACAACTCTCACCACTCAACAGAGGGGCATTTCCCCTACATGCAGCATGATTTGTTGTTTTTGCCTTTGCTCATGCTCTCCTCCCACTTTTCTTCCTTTCCACATATTCAAACTCTATGAGCTGATCAACAGGCAGCCTCCATATCCAATTCTCCATGAACTCTTCTCTGTTACTCTTACTTGAAGTAATTCTTCCTCTCACTTCCAGAAACACTGATTTACTGAGTACTTACTTTATGCTAAGAGGCATTGAAAATATGCTTAGAAAAATTCTTACCTTCAGGGAGCTGACATTTTAGTGGAAGATATACACAATAAACAAGATAAATAAATAAAATATATAGTATATTGGGTAATAGTCATTATTAAAGAGAAAAATGAATCTGGGAAGTGGGTGTCTTAGTTGATTCAGGCTATTTAGTCCATTCAGACTGATTAACTTATACACAACAGAAATTTATTTCTCACAATTCTGCAGGCAGGAAGTCTGACATCAGAGTGGCAGCGTGGTTAGGTAAGGGCTTTCTTCTAGGTTGCTTATGGTATTCTCAGATGGTGGGAAAAAACTAGGGAGTTCTTTGGGGTCTCTTTTATAAAAAGCACTAATCCCATTCAGGGAAGCTTTCACCCTCATGACCTACTCACCTCCCCCCAGCCCTTCCTCCTTGTACTTGAAGTAATTCTTGTTGGGTGTTTGGATTTCAACATGTGGATTTGGGGAAGGAGGGGCACAAACATTCAGACCATAGCACTGGGGTAGGAAATTTAGGAACTTCAGAAAGTTTGGAGTTTAAATAGAGTGGTTAGGGAAGGATATAATTGATAATAAAGACCAGAGGCTGAGCCCTGGGGATATCTAAGGGAAGAGCTTGAGACAAGGGAACAACACGTACAAAAGCCCTGAGCAGAATATGCTTGGCATTTTCCTGAAATAGCAAGGAGCTATGTGGCTAGAGCAGAGTAATCAGGGGGACAGTCAGAGAGCACAAGGTCAGAGGGATGTTGAGGCAGCATCGCAAACTGCATCGTGGACCAACTGTAAGATCTTCAGGTTTTACTCTGAGTGAGTAAATGCTGGAGGATTCTGAGCACAGATTTTCAAAGGATCATTCTAGGGCTGCACTGGGAATAGACTATAGGAAGGCAGAAAGCAGTGTGAAAACAGAGATGAATCCAGATTTTATGGAGCTTTATAAAATTTTGGCAGCTCTTTTTAGGAAAAATTATTAAAAGTTCAAGTAAAATTGTAGGTATAAAATTATGAAGGGGTCATGAAACTTAAGGGACTATGAAACTATTAACTTTCTTAGCTTCTGAATAAATCTACCTCTGGGTCCATGTGGAAGAGAGAGAACAGTTAAGAAGCTACTGTGACAATCCAGGCAAGAGACAATGATAGTGCAGCCTGACAATGCAGTGAATAAGACATCAGATTATGTATACATTTTGAAGATAGAGTTGACAGGATTGATTGACAGATTAGATATGAGCTACAAGGAGAAAGACTAAGCACAATTTGTGTCTACAACCATTGGAAGATTGGAATTACCTTTCACAGAACAGAAATGGTTGTACCTATTTCTGTTCTGTGACATTTATATATTTGTGAAACTTGCTAATAGCCAGTACATACTCTTTGAGACCGAGGACACTACCTTGTTTATTGCTGTGCCTCCTAGAGCTCTTAGCTTACCATCTCACACATTTAGATACTCAAAATGTGTCTGTTGAATGAAAGAATGATTGTTATGTGCTCCGCTTCCCTAATGGAAAGTAAGAAAACTATGCCCATTATTACTCATTGAGTTTCTATTTTTATGTGAGGATATGAATGAACCATCCAATTTTCAAAATGGCCAACAGCCAGGATGTGAAGAGAATCATCTAAACTATCCACCATATGTGCCTGGTAAGTACACTGAAAGTGTCAGATGAGTTTGAAACATTTTTATATTCCATCGGGGGAAAAATTTCTTTAATGCCATCAGTTTGTCTTAGGAAAGTACATTTCCTTTTATAGCTCACCAATCTAGGAATAATCCAGGAAATTTAGAACATGGATGTGTACGTTCTGTATTCCTTCGGTGGTAAGGCCTTGAAATGTTTGTGAGTTGTGTCCTCACTTGTCTAAGAAGGATCCAAAAGCTTCTTTCCTTGGCTATCCTTATAAGAGTCAGGGAGCTAGATTTATTGATGTGTCACAGCTGATTCTTTGATGAGTGAGTTCTTCCCTTTGGCTGCAAAATGTTTGCAATTGATAATTTCCATAGTTTTTGCTAGTTCTATAATTAATGGCCTACAATCGAAAATAGAATGCCATAGGAACGCTGTGAAGATTTGAGGAGTAGAGTTTTGCACTCAGAATGAGAGGCTTATCTTTGACTGCAGACTTCTAGTTTGAGGGATTATAGCACTTCGTTTAGAGTTCCTTTAAAATTACAGCCATGTGCAAGTACAGTGATTCAGTTCCCAGTGAAACCGGAACAAAAGGGAAAAGCAAAAACTGACATGAAATCCACTTCTCAGAGCTGGTAAACCCTAAATTCCACTCACAGCCTTTGAATCCATGAGATGCTGGCCTCCCTCCACAAGTTACTTGCGAGGCTGAAGAAATGGTGACCATAAGTTGGTCCCTTCTCCCATTATTCAGTGAAATAGCTAAATGAAAATATCAAGTAAGCAGCAAGATGTATAAATCTGGAGAGAGGCAATCTGGGCTTGAGATAAAAAACTGGGAATGGTATGCATAAAAATGGTGTTTAAACTTACAGGGATTGATGAGTCAATGTATTGAGAATGTCAGAATGTAAAATGTGAACCTGACAAATGGGCCCTCCAGCCCTGAGCTTTGAGGAGACCCCTTACCGCAACATTTAGGCTTTGGATGGAAATAGAAATGCAGCTGAGAAAACCAAATGGAAGCAATTGGATGGGGATGAAGAAAGGCAGGAAAGAATCCCGCCTTGGGTCCCAAATGAGGAGATGAGGAAACACTCCAAACAGATGACATGGTCAATTCCGTCAGATGGTGTCAAAAAGTTATACAAAATGAGTTCAGAACATGCCCAGAGCTCAGCAATGCAGAGTGTGGCAATACTGACAATATTCGTTTCAGTGGAGTAGTGGGAATAGATACCAAACTAAATTCTGAGTGAAAGGGAGATGAGGAAGTGGAGGCAGAGGTGTAAACAAACGTTTGGCAGGGTTGGCTCTGAAAGGAGCAGACAAGTGGGTCTGTAACTGAGAAGAATGTGTGTAGAAGGGGATGTTGTTTAATTATCTGTTTTTTAACAAATGAGAGATGCTAGAGCGTGTTTGTTTGCTGTCAGGAATGAGCCAGTAGACTGGACAAAGTGGCTAATGCGAAAGAAGGAAGAGATAATTCAAGGACTGAAGTCGCTGAGAAGAGAGCCTAGGCTAGCATTCATTGTGAAGGGATGGAGCGGTAAAAGAGCAGGCACACTTCACTGTTGCTGGAAGAAGAGCCAGCATACAGATGCACATGGATGTGTGGACTAGCTGATGGGATGCTGAAGATCTTCCCACTAGAGAAGCTTCTGTTTTAAAGATGTGTTCATCGGTGCAAGAGATAGGGAAAAGGAGGGTGAATTTGGGGAGTAGGGACTTTTAAGAGATAGAAGGTCTGTCCCAGTCAGATCTGACGGTGACCAAACAAATTCATGACTGAAGCGTGGTGGGATTCCCAGGCAGCATTGAAGACTCATTTGAATTCTTGAAGAAAAGGATGAGGAATAGAGAGAGAAGGAAAGGGCCAGGTAGTGAATGGAATCACGCACAATAATTCCAGCAACAAGACACCTGTGCCCCACGCTGCTTAGTGGTATGGAAGCCACCCTGCCACACACCCTCCCCCCCCTCCCCCACACAAACTGAAGGCAGCCCGCTAGAGGACTGGCAACAAAACAGATGTCACAATGGCCCCCAAACCTAGTCCAATCCCTTTCTTTTGGCTATAAAATGGGGATATGAATTCAACATTTGCAAGTTAAGAATTTAAAACATTCTATATAAAGCAGGTGAGTGGCATACAACAGGTGCACAAAAAAATAGCCACTATCGTATCGATTACAAACAATTTGGGGGGATTTAAATTGAATTCCGAGTACTTTGCCAAGTACTAAAAATAAGCAATTAAATAAGAGGGTGATTATTATAATAATTTCCCATCATTATTGCTTCAGGATGTGAAGCCAGAAGTAGCTAAGACAGTCCTCATTTTCACCCTGACTGGGCTCATTCTTTCACATATGATGGCCTAGTCCTTACCTCCCTTACTCCTGGCTTATATTCTTTTAAAGAGCAAATCGATCACTATTTAGAACACACAAAAAGGAAGGAGTATTAATCAGAGAAAAAAATGACTATTAATACCAACTTGGAACATGAAAAGTAGAAGCAAGGCCAGTTAAGCTCTCAGATGCATTCTTTCTAAAATAGATCATTGTAAAAAGCATTGAAGGAATCTGCCTGTAGTCAGGACGAGCGTTACCAAGACACTGAACGAAAGACTAAAGTCTGATGTGGCATCTGATGAATATTCTTATCTCCTGTGCTATTTTTAACCAGTATTAAATCCCCCCCCCCCCCCCCGCCCCCTCTTTTACAAAACAATCGAAGGCAGTGACTTGCAACCAGTGTGCTCCAAGAATTTGTAAAACATGCAATACCTGACTATTTAGTGAGGGCCACTAAATAGATTGTTAAATAAAAGAAATGACAACAGCCAACACAACTATAGCCAACTGATATGAATGAATCAAAATCGTCAGATCAGCAAAAATATATTTTTTCGGTGTGCTGCAGAATTTTATTAATTAGTTTTATGTGTGCCATGAGATGGAAGAGATGAAAAATCACTGATCTAAGGTTTTACCACTTTGTGTAGTCTCTTTGATTGGTAACTGTTTCTGATTGTATAAAGTTAGACTTTGAGATAATTGTATTCCAGTTAAAGTACAGGAGTTCGTCATTACCACTGCATTCCAGCAGATAATTATCTATGTTTGTTGCATTTTTTTCTTTGTGGCCAAGCAGGCTGGCTTTATTATGATATAGTTAGTGGTTAAAATGTTCTCTCAGGAGTCAAAGAATATGATGAGGCTGCTGCCTTCATTTACAGGGGGTGAGAAAATTATTACACAATATCTAGATTCCTGCATCTATTTTACATGCTCTACAAGTAGCTTTAACTTGAGCTGAATTATGTATGTAGTTAAATTTAAGACATAACTGATGGTCAAAGAAAAGTGTCTCAGTTTTATTTTACATTTTGAAAAATCATTACAAGTTCCATTAGACTTATTCTCAAATGCATACATTTAGAAATTAAATGTCAAGAGACTCTACATCTCTTTAAAAACACATTCTTTTCAAAATAATAACCGGTTGGGAGAAAAGTTTATAGTAGAAACAAAAATGCTCCAAATGGACATGATTGTCTCGCCTCACCACCCCACCCCTCCCCCTTTCCAGAGGGACCAAATCCTTTCAGTATTTAAGACCTTACGTGTCTTCAATATATCACAAAGACAGCTTTGAAATGATATTGAAATCTCAATTTTGAAGATCTAAAAGACAGGCAAACATTTCAAGGCCACAGAATGTGGGTTAGAATTAGATTTCCTTGTGTATTAGACTCTCTATCCTTGTTGCTATGTTGAAAAAAATGCATTTAAAAAGGCATAAAAGCTACTCTACTTGCTATTACAGATCCCTGTCATTCCAAAGCTGATCTTATTGTTCTTTAGCTAGATACGCACAGCAGCTTCACCCTGAGTTGCAGTAAATGCCTTGAGATTAGGCTCCATAATTTTAAGCTAAACAAATAAACATAGAGTCCTAGCAGGAAGGTTGAGACTAGACTTAAAAGGTCTACATTGTACAAGGAGAACATGTAAACTAGAAAATACCTTTATTTCATATAAAGTAGTAACAACCAATAGTACGATATATTATTAATATGCATATTATCAATATGCATATTAATATGCATAGTAATTTTTATTATTTATAATATAATAATTAAAGTATTAATTAAGAAAAATAAGGTTAGCGCAACTCACAGAATGGGCCCCTACTAAGAAACCCCATTAAAGCCACTGTCCAAAGGCCCATCTCTGAGAAGACTTGTGTTGTTTCTTAAACATATTTTTATTGATTTCAGAGAGGAAAGAGAGGGAGAGATAGAAACATCAATGATGAGAGAGAATCAATGATTGGCTGCCCCCTGCACAACCCCCACTGGGATGGAGCCTCCAACCCAGACATGTGCCTGACGGGAATCAAACCTGGGACTCTTCAGTCCGCAGGCTGATGCTCTGTTCCCTGAGCCAAACCAGCTAGGGCTGAGCGGACTTGTTTTAGGTCAAGCCTTGGTGATGTGTATAATATGTTCCAAGTCACCAAATCGTATACATTAAATATGGGCAGGGTTGTGTATATCAATCATACCTCGCTCAAGCTGTTTTTCTTTTCTTTTTTTTTTTTAAAGAAATGGAAAAACAGAAGAGGAAAGGCTAATACTTCCTGCAAATAGCTTTTAGAAACAAGAGCTAAAAATCTCACTAAAAATCTCAACTTTGACTCCATCTTACTTTGTTAATTCTAAGTTAACTCGGAGGGAAGAGTTTCTTCCTGCCCTGAGATCTCCTTTCTAGAAAGCCCGAGTTTCTGCCATCAGTGGGTGAGACTTACTCCCTTGTGTGTATGTGCAGAGGCCAAAACTCCTACAGCAAGTAAGAGTGTTAGTGAGTGGTATCTAGTCTTTCCCCGACTTAGCTCTGACAATGCTCAAGTTTTCTTATATAGTTGTCGTCTTTTCTGTTTTTAAAATCTTCAGGAAGAAAGTCATTATTTGGTTTGGCAAATTTTTCTCATATTTAACCTAAACTTTCTATTCTATAAATGGATTTCCTTTTCAATTTTTTTTGTAGAAATGGGAGAGAATGTCCTAGTTGTGCTGTGTGAGAACTCTTTAGACTCTTGATGAACAATCTTTTGCTCTGTTATGCACAGTATAAGATGCTAGATAACCACCATCTATTCAATCTGTTCAAGGTTATGGGCATACAAACCAAACAGATAGTTGTCTCTAAGAAGCTCAGAGTCCAGTGAAGGTGACCATCATGTAAACATAAAGTGAAATACAATCAGAGACTTCTAGGTGATGATGGCAAAGGAGGCCACACCCAGAATTTCAGATATCAATTAAGGGGGAGGGGGGAATTGAAGAAAAAAACACAAAATTTTGTGCATAGCAATCAAAGAAAGAAAGGGCATCCAGTCTTACACCATTTCCTTCAAAAGTGGCAGAGAATGCCTCATCCATTTCCTCTAGAAAACAGAGCCTGAGGCAAAACTTATCTGGAAAAGATGGAGTTCGTTTTTTTGGGCGGGAGGGTGGAAGGATAGGAGGTGAAGCAATCCCCACGCAGGATGGGTAAGGAAAAAAGGGAAGTGAGGCAGAGGAGGAAGGAAAGCAAATACAAGATGGTGTTTTACTGAATTGACCAGAGCTTCACAAGAAAATAGAACCATTGCTAAGCCTTATTATTATTATTATTATTATTTGTTAATCTGGTAAGTGTGAAATGACAGTTCATTGTGTATTTAATGATTATAAATAGTAGTAAGCATTTTTTGTCTTCATTGGCTTTTCAGGTTTTACTGACCTGTTCAAAGCTTTTTTCCCTATTTTTCTTGTGAGCCATTAGCTTTCTTTCTCCAAGAAAGAAAAATATGTGTTAAAAATATCTCTACTAATTTTTGGCTTATCTTTTCACTCTCTTTTTAGGATCTTTTGTTGAATAAAAGTTCCTAACTAAACTACTGTCAAATATATCAGCCTATTTCTTTATCAATTTTTCAAGTTAAGAAATACTTTTGAATTTGAGCTCATAAACATACACCGTTTTAAAAATATTTCAACGGCTTTGCCCTTTCACAGTTTGGTCTTTAATCTACTTGAAGTTGATTCTGAGCAGTATGAGAAAACAGTCTGACTTTATTTCTTTTGTTAATCCTAACCTGAGGATATTTTTTCCATGGAATTCTAGAGAGAGTGGAAGGGAGGGGAGAGAAGGAGGGGGAAAGAGAGAGAGAGAGAGAGAAACATTGATTCCAGGGAGACACATTGACTGGTTGCCTCCCACACGCAGGGCTGGGAATTGAACCTGTAATTCAGGTATGTGCCCTTGACCGGAAACTAAACCTGCACTCTCCTGTGCTCAGGCTGATGCTCTAACCATTGAGAATACTGGCCAGGGCCTTTTTTTTTTTTTTTTGGTATGTGGAGACGGAATTGTCCCAGAACCAATTAAAAGGCTATTTTTTTCTCCCACTGACCTGCACTACTTATTTTTTATGATGGATATCTACATATACTTTGTGTTACTTTTAGACTGCTATTTCTGTCCCATTGATTTTTCTTTCCATTTACCAATTTGACACGGTCTTAATTTCTACTGCTTTATAATGAACCAGGAAGTAATGTGGGAAATAGACTTATCACCTTGGCCTTCCTTCTTCAAGAATGTTTTCGCTGTTGGACATTAAATCCATAAATCAATTTGGAAAGCACTGACATTTTTATAATACAGAATTTCCAATAGAATGAGTATGGCACTTTCCCCCTTTATTTGTCTTTTAAAATTACTTTTTACACTGTGCTGTGTGAGAATTCTTTATAGGCTTGATGCACAATCTTAAAATTTTATAATGTCTTTAGGAAGGTTTAGATTTATTTGGTTAATCTTATTTCTCTTGGTTCTCTATATTTTTGATACTATTTTAAATGCCTCGTTTTAGTCATTCTACTTTGTATTTGTTGTTGATTTATAAAGTGTAAGTGGTTGAGTTTTGTATATTGATTTTTTATCTAGAAAATGTGCTATACTATAATACTAATTCTCCTAGTTTACCTGTTGATTCTTTAGGATTTTATTTCTCCGTAGACATTCACATCATATGTGAATTACACATAGCATTGGCTCTCCCATTCTATTCCTTTTAGTTTAGGTTTATTTTTCTTTGCCTTATTTCACTGAATAAGAATTCCAGTACAAGACTGAACGGAATTGGTAATGGTAGGCACCTTCTTCTTCCCAATCTCAATGACATCATGTTTTAAATATTTCACAATTATGTATGAATTTGGCTATAGGTATTTTTGTAGAAAACCTTAACAAAGTTAGGGTAGTTTATTTGATTGCTATTTTACTGAGAGGTTTTTGTCAAGAGTAAAGTTCAATTTTATCAAACACTTAAAAGCATCTGGAGATAATTGAATGTTTCTTTTAAATATGTTAATACATTATGTTGATTTTTAAATATTAGACTTTGTATTTCTGAGAGAAATCCATCCATCTTAGTCTTGATACTAACAGCTAACTGTCTCATAAATTCAAGATACAAGTGAAAAATGTTTGTCATGTTAGTGTAACACTGTTGTCACTGCTTGAAAGATACTTAATGTCTTCAAGAAACTCATACACTAGTGAGGGTGACCAATATGTAAATAAACAAATAAAATACAATAAGGATATGTCAATTATGTTAAGAATGTATATTTCTCTTATTTCATTCTTAGATATCACAGGTGGCTTATTGGCGGAGAAAACATTATGTCCCAATTCCAAGACTTATCTGGGATATCATTATGATACACATTCTCTGTTTGGCTGGTCCCAAGCAATACCTACTTTCTAGTGAGTAGTTTGTAAACCAAACCTTCTTGAAATGTTTTTAGTATCTGCACATTGTTATTAAAATGTCCTTTAAGAAATAGGAAATATTTGTTTAAAGCTGGTGTTACATGTTATCGTTTCTTAATTTATTCAAGGACCAGTAAGTTATCTTCCTCTTCGAAGACTTTATCTTACTGATGTATTATTTTTATTAAATGTTCTCATTGATTTCATATATATATATGACAAAGGCAGAGCAGAATGACCTTATTAAAGTCATGATTTGTGCTGTCATAAGTTTAAGACACCAAGTGCGATACACCGGAAGCTTGGCCGATAATCCTCTTCTCTCCTGGAATTAATAATCTCAGGTCGTAAGCATCCTTTCAGTGCCACCTGATCTATGCTGCCCCTCTGTGTTCACCGTTTCTGTCTTTTCCTGTGTATATCTACTGGGAGACTCCCATAGGCTGCATTAGTAGAATTATATTCAAGGGTTCAAGTATAGAACACTGTGTTTCCATTTACTCTGCATCCTTGTCTGTCTGAAACAGGTGTTCCTTCCAATTGATGTTCGTTAGAGTACTTCCACAGTCTATTATAAGTATAGGCAAAATATATATGACTCTTATAGTCAGCTTGTTTGATTTATAAAGCGAATTCTCAGGAGTAGTATAGGATCAAAATAGAACAGATTATTGTGGTATAGGATCAAAATAGAACAGATTATTTTTGCCATATACAAATATATTTCATTTTTATGCTTTGGAATTTAGCCATTGTCCTAGAGCCATGAGTTCAAGGACCTTAATGAAATCTATCTGGTAAGCACGATAGAGAATTACAGAGCTGAAGTGAACATAAGGGTCATTTAACCACAGTCTCTCTTACCTACTTCTGAAAAATATTTAGGTCTTAATTTGACAGAAAACAAAATTAATACACAAAGAGTAAACTTGATAGACAGCATTCTGAATATATATTTAATGGGGCAAATAATAAAAAAACAGAATCAAGTGGCTTGCCACTACTTGAGGTTTATTTATCTTATTTTAAAAAAATGGTATTGAACTTATTTGGGGTGACATCTATATATATAAAAGCCAAGCAGCCAAATGGTGGAATGACCAGAACGACCAGAATGACCAATGGCTATAACGCTCACTGTGGCAGCCAACCTGCCCAATCAGGGGCAGGGCCAGCCAGCCAACTGCTCTCAGCCCCTCTCCCCTGCCAGCTCCTCCCCTGATTGCCCCCTCCCCCATCCTGATCACTGAAGTGTGACTTTCAGTGATTCTAAGTAAGTAAATGCTCTCCAGCCTTCATAGACCAGGAACCTGAATGCAAGTGATCAGGAGGAAAACTGCTCGTGGTTTGGATATCAGTTAGGTGTCCAGGAGAGGTGCCCAGCACAACTGCCATCTTCCCCGTCTCAGAGCAGCTCCCCCCCCCCACCCCGAAAAAAAAACTGCCATCCCTGCCCCCAATCGCCCTCCCCCCCACCCGATCGGGAGTGGGTGGCTGGAACCCACCCATGTATGAATTCATGCACTGGACCTCTAGTTTGTTAATAAAATTATATAGGCTTCAGTTGTATAATTCTATAATACATCATCTATATATTATATTTTGTGTTTACCACCCCAAGTCAAGTCTCCTTCCATTACCATTCTAGGAGGAAAACTGCTCAGTCTGGATCATCAGTCAGGTGTCCAGGAGAGGTGCCCAGCACAACCACCATCCCCCTGTGTTCTCTCTCCACTGCTTACTGCCAAAGAGGGCAGCCACATCACACCACAACCTCTCTTTAGGGGGTTTGTCAGCAGGGAACTAAACCGCATTACCTGTCTAGGGAGAGGCTTAGAAACAGAAGCTGTCAGTGTCCCTGACACTAAAGCTTCCTGACACTTTGAAGCTTCAACTCATCCAAAAGCCAACAGCAAAAGTGTATACACCCTGCAAACATCTTTGACACTTATAAC